TATGTATGTATGAATGAATGTGCGAACGTGCATCCGTGTAGAGATATAGATATAGATATTAATATGAACTAAATAAATAAATGAATACATAAATAAATGGATAAATCTGCATATATCTTTCATTTCTCAATGTCTTCGTTTGCTTGTTTATAGTCATTTGCGTCTATAGACTCATGTTCCTCCACAGAGCTGCCCAACCCCGAAGCCTGGACCCTCGATCTTTGAAGCTTCGAAGTGAAGAGCCCTAAACCCCAAGCCCTAAGCCCTAAAACCCTGAACCNNCCCTAAACCCTAGACCCCTAAACTGCCCACCTGTAGGTTTCCTTTAACTAAGAGCGAGCTGGGGTTTTTAGGAGCAGGTTTCGAGTCGAGGCTTCAGGGTTTAGGGTTTAGGGGTTAGCGTTTAGGGTTTAGGGTTTAGGCTCTAGGGTTTAGGGTCTAGGGTTTAGGGTCTAGGGTTTAGGGGTTAGCGTTTAGGGTTCAGGGTTTAGGGTTTAGGCTCTACGGTTTAGGGTCTAGGGCTTAGGGTTTAGGGTTTATGTTTAGGGTTTAGGGTTTAGGGTTTAGGGTTTAGGGTAATGTTGGGGCCTTAATAAGTAGAATAGGGTTCCTTTAAAGGGCTCCTTATAAAGGGTTCTATAAGGGATCCATAATAGGGTTCTATAGTAGGGGCCGTAATTTTAAACGCTTCGCGTCGTCCGCCTCGGCCCGGCCGCAAACAAAGCGGGCCAACGAACTGCCGGTGCCTTGAAGGCGCCGTTGGCGGAGCGGACGAGGACCGGGGGGAAGGGGAGGAGACTGCGTACAAAACAGCGCGGAGGGAACAGGGGAAAGGGGTCCAAATCCATTGGAGGAGGCGAGACTGCACCGCAGGACCTTGGGGCTCATTTATGGATTCACACAGAGCCACCCCCCGTGCGGGGGTCATTAATAGAGATAAGAACCTTTGACCGCTTCGGTCGGGGCCGAGGCGAATAATTAGAATAGGGTTTTGGGGTATATTGTGCTATACCCTTACCTCGGAACCCAGAGCCGTCAGGCATCCTCGAAGCCCAAAGACCCATCAGCGCCTCGGAATGCCTTGGAAGGCCTGTTAAACCCCTATTGAATGCCGAGTAGAAACCTAGTAGAAGCCTTTCTTCTCACCACTCCAAACCCTAAACCCCAAACTCTAAGCCCCTAAACCCCTAAA